GAGGACTTTAGCTGCTAGGCCACACCACCGGGCCCAAGATGCGGTTTTGAGAAAGCTGCTCACCTCTTACGTTCATCTTTTCTTTGCATTAACCAAAATTCTAGTCTGTCCATGTGTTAGTTTTTCCCATCTTCTCTTCCTTCCAGCTTTCTGAGCCATGTAAAGAGCATAGAGTAGTTACGTAGCAACTGTCCATCTGTTAGCTCAATCCCAAGTGGCTGTAATGGCCAGAGCTGAGCTGATCTGAAGCTGCTTCTGGACCTCCCATGTGGATCCAAGGGCTCAAGTACTTGAATCATCCTCTTCTGCTTTTCCAGGCCATTAGCAGGGAGCTGAATTGGAAGTGGAGCAACCAGGGCACGAATTGGCATTCCCTATGGGACCACAACACTGCAGACTGAGGCTTAGCCATCCGTGCCATGGTGCTGGCCCCTTGAGTTCTGACCAAAATGGCTAAGTTTGTGGTGATTGATCATGCAGCTGTCGGAATGACCCAGTGCAGATTCAGCCTTTTGAACAGATGGGAACGCTTAGGCTCGGAGAAGCGATCTGACAAAGGCTGTGAGCATGCAGTGAGTGGTGCAGCTGAGAGGCTGAGAGGCTGAGGGAGGTGAGTGTCTCACGCCACAGCCTGATACCTTAGCAGCAGTGCTCAGGGTCATGCCCTAAGGGCATGAGGGCTCCTGGCCAAGAGGGACTCTGTCCCTGCATTCTTTGGGCATCAGAAAAGGTGCATTATCAGTAAAAGTACAGTTCTGAACTAGAAAGAAATCTTGAGTGTGCCCTTGCTTGCCTTGAAATTCCATTTCAGAGGTCAGCCCTATGGAGCAACAAAATCCAAATGGGGCTCCGCTCATAAAAACTTGCGCCTGGCCAGAGTGTCCATTTCTGCCTTCCTCCTCCAGCCTGACCAGATGTGCTCAGAAAATTTGGTTCCCCCTGAATATGTACATCTGTCAAAATTCCTGTCCATTTCAGCATGCCTGCCAAGGGAGGGAACAAAGAGAGTTGGCGATTAACTTCCAAGAACTTTGTTGGAGAGGAATAAAGATATTTAAGGCCTATTTTGTGAACTAATTGCATTTGCATATTTATGGGATTTACTGATATAGCAGTAATTAAAAACTATTTAGTAGTCTTAAAGGACACATAACTCAGTTGCTGTTTGCATAATAAACACTTTCTTATTATGTTTGCATAATAAACCCTCTCCCCGGGCTTCTTCTAAAGACATGGGTCCATGGAAGAGGTACCATGGCTTCCTGGGAAATCAAGGGCAAACACGGCACAAGGTTCAGGGGGCAGTGCAAAGGGGCTTCAGAAGGAAATGTATGCCTAGGTACCTCCTAGGGGGCAGGCCTGGCCTTCCAGTGCTGTCAGGAATGGCCAGCTCAAACCTCAAGTGAGGTGTCAGCTTCCTGTGCCACAGTGAGGACACTGGAGGAACCCCTCAGAACTCCAGGTTTTTGACTTGAGAACACTGAACTGCTTGGAAAGACCTGAAGCTCATCCAAGTCCCTGCTCATCCTTCCTTAAGAAGACAAAGAAGTCGGTCAGGAGTTGCAGCTCAAGAGCTTTCCCTGGATGAGAAGTGCTGTATTTAAGGAGAGTGAGAAGGGTGATTTTTCTTCCCCCTCTAGTAAAAACCAAAAGTTTAGGTAAGAAGTAGTACCAAATCTAAAAGAATGGAGTGAATAAACCCAGACGGGGCAGCAAGGTGAGTAAGAAGAGCGTAGCCAGTCAGCAGGACAGACAGGAAGCACCTGTCTACAAATGACTCAGTTGATAAGTCGTTTTCACAAACCCATCTTGGCAGGAGTCATCAGCCAGCAACCTGTGATGGGCAGGATCCCCAGACTGTCATTAAATTAGCTAATGAGGGTCATAATGCGCCTGCATCACACATCATTAGCAATGGCCTTCCAGTGACAGATGGGCATACAAGAAACTGAAGGAAAGGGAGGGGAGGCGCGTCCCAGAACACCTTAGAGTCACGGCTTACTAAGAAGCCTGCCCAAAATGCAACATCAGTGGCCGTATCCATGAAGACTGCGCATATAGGGAAGTTGCTTTCTCTTCCCAGGAAAACACTACCTGCAGAGCTCTGTGACCTATAGCCTGCCCTCCTTCTGTCCCAACTCATAAGCAGAAACAGGCAGTGCCGAGAATCTATACAAAGGACAGGGCCTTGGAGACCAATCATCTGAGAAGACCCATTTGTCTGTCCATCTTCCCCAAGATGGACATCTTCTGTCTCCCTGTCTTTCTGTAAATCTGCCTTTCCAATAAAAATGAATAAATCTTGAAAGAAATACTCCTCAGATAAACTTTCCTGAAGTGCACAGTAAAGTTTATCAACCTGGTTAAACTTAAATGTATTTTTCTTCTGCAATATTCTTTTTTGAAAGATTTATTTCTTTGTTTTTAAAGACTTATTTTTATGGTAAAGTCAAATATACAGAGAGGAGGAGAGACAGAGAGGAAGATCTTCCGTCTGCTGATTCACTCCCCAAGTGACCACAACAGAGCTGAACCGACCCAAAGCCAGGAGCCAGGAGCTTCTTCTGGGTCTCCCACACGGATGCAGGGTCCCAAGGCTTTGGGCTGTCCTTGGCTGCTTTCCCAGGCCACAAGCAGATTTATCTGTTTTTATTGGAAAGGCAGATTAACAGAGGAGATGCAGAAAGATCTTTCTCCACTGGTTCACTCCCCTAAGCAGCCACAACAGCCAGAGCTGAGCTGATCCAAAGCCAGGAGCTTCCTCCAGATTTCCCATGCACGTGCTGGGTCTCAAGGCTTTGGGCCATCCTCTATTGCTTTCCCAGGCTACAATCAGGGAGCTGAAAGGGAAGTAGGCAGCCAGGATATGAACTGGCATCTCTATGCCATCTTAGCACATGCAAGGTGAGGAGTTTAGTTATCAGGCTATTGCACCAGGCCCAAGAATATTCTAAAATATGTAGACAATGTGAGAAAACAGTACCTCCCCACACAAACAATTGAGAGCAAGTGACTCCATGACGTGCCATAAGCCTTGAATAGTTAGGGTGTTTTTCTCACAAGTAAGGATTTCCTTTTACATAATGTCAAAAAGAAACCAAGAAATGGCTGTTGCTACGTCACTACCATCCAATACGCATACTCCACTCGGGTTTAAGCAGTTCTTCCCAAAACGTTCCTAGCAGTGTGGAAGCACAGGGCCCTCCAGCTGGGGCGTCTGTCCAGCCTTCTTTGGTCTGGTGCAGCTCCTTAGCTTTTAACCTTCAGATCCTTGATCTCTTGAGTACATGCTTACTTTTTTGTCCTTGTAGAACACCCCATGGTAAGGAGCTGGCTGATATTTTCTCGTGTGCAGTCTCAACGTGGCAGTTCTGGCAGTGTTATAACAAATGAGCTCCTGAATCTTGTCAATTCATTCTGTCTCATGGCAGGCAGCTCCCATTGCTGAAGATGCTAATTGTCATCATTTGATTAAGATGCTGTCTGCCAGCTTTCTCCACTGAAAAGTTTTTTTTTTTTCTCTAAACTTTGTAATTAACAAGTGCTTTACATAAATGCTCTGATCTTCATCAAAGTTTCACCAACTAATGTTAGCATCCACGGATGTTTCTTGGATGAATTAATGATCTTTATTATAAAGATTCCACTATACCTTTCCATATTTAGGGGTTGACATTCTAGTTTAAGGAAAAACTCTTTCTTCTTCCCATTTGTTTATTTAAATCAGTATGAACTTGTGACATATTTTCTTTATTAGGTTATAATTTATTAGCACTCTTACTGATTTCAATCTTAAACTGTTCCAGATATGGTTAGTAGTAGCCCCTTCATGTCTTGTCTTATCATGTCTTCATCATTTTTATTTGTTAGTTCTTTGCCTTTCAGTTCAAAAAGATGTTCTAGGCCTTCTTGCCCTGTCTTAGATACAGCATCAATCTTTTTTTTTTTTTTAAATATAACTTATTTATTTGGAAGAGTTATAGAGAGAGAGGAAGAGGGTCGGGGGAGAGACAGAGAGAGGAAGAAATCTTCTATCTCTGGTCTACCCCATAGTTGGCTGCAATGGCTAGGAATGGGAAAGAGTACAGCCAAGAGCCGGAAGTTCCTTCCAGGTGTCCCATGTGGGAAGTGGGGGTCCACATACTTGGACAGGGAGCCAGGACAAGTCTTGAGCCATCATCAGCTGCTTTCCCAGGCTTATTAGCAGGAGCTGGATTGGAAGTGGAAAGCAAAAACTCAAATTGCCACTCAAATAGGATGCTGGCCTCACAGGCAGTGGCTTAACTTGCTATACCTCAATAGTGGCCCCAGTGGTTACCATCTTCAATAAGCCTAGAAACATGACTTCTGAAGAAGCAATTTTTTGATTTGTGGGCAGTAGAAATTTAAGAAAGACCCCTGCTAATCAAAAAATCAATGTTTCTTTTAATTAAAGGAGCCTCAAAAAGCAGAAGCCACTCTTTGCAGTTGTTTTTCATTAGACAATACCACGTTTCCATTAGCTTTGTGTAATTCAAGAGTCCAATAACCATTGTCAAATGCTGAAGATGTTACTGCATAACTCTGATTTAGAACAGCTATTTGGATCTCAATTATTAATGAAATTAGCATCCTGAATGTCAGCAAGAGCACTGCCTTAGGTAAGGGCTGTAAAGAAAATCATATTAGCGTGGAATTTCCTCTCCTTAGGGGCTCCTCTTAGATTACATTATTCACTTAGCTGTCTCCTGCCAGGGAGATGGAACTGTTGGCCATGGCTGATCCAGGGGGCAGAACCAAATGGCAAAGTTAAGGGGTTTCATGACGGCATCATTTCCAAAACACTCATTGCTTAGTGCTGAGACTGCCTTTGGTTTCATTGAGTGTTTGCAAAACAGCCCCAGTGAGGAACTGGCAGAACAGGAGCGGCGGAGCAAAGAGGAACCTGGATGAGAAGCATTGAGTGGCCTTCCATGCAGGTGGCACACTTGTGATTCTCCTCCTTGGGAACGCTCGCAGGGATGTGGGTGACTGAAATGGCTGCTCTGTGGCCCTGCATCCTGGCGGCTGCCTCAGGTGAGTCCTGTTGGTGAGTAGACCAGGCACTGGGTGAGTAGTAGCTCTCAGGAGCTCATGACCATATTTTTATACATGGGGCTCTGTCACTTTCTGTGAGTGCATGCTTTTACTCATCATCTCTAAAATGCCAGTCCTTGTCCCTGCACTTACAGATACACCCACGTATGTCGTCACATGGTGGGGCTGCTTGACATAGCTGAAAATATGCTCTGCACCGTTGGGTTTGTTTGATCAGACGCTGCTTCTCAGAAGTCAAGTTCTCTGCATCTGTTCACTGAGGCGTGCGGACATTCTGCCTCAGATTTGCTTTTATGTATGGAGAATGTGTTTTTATTATTCCCAAATAGTCTTGGCTTCATCATAAGCTGTTGACAGCTCAAAGAGTCTCTTGGATTTCTGTTGGTGACACTGCTTATGAATCATTTGAGTACCAGCTTTTATGCCCATCCTTGGAAAATCTGTGTGCATATCCTAAGGACAGGTACATCATATAAAATTATGAGTATGCCTCATTAGCCTGCAAGTTTTGAGTTTACAGTTCTTAATCATACTTTAGGCATGATCCTTTTCCCCCAAATTTCTGAAATTGTTCTTCTATGCTACTGGTGTCACCTTTATTCAGGGTTGATTATTTTCTGTAGGATACAATTGATTCTAAAATGCACACAAATCAAGAGGATATGCTGTCACTTTCCCAACATTCCATGTTCTGTGGTTCTCTTAGTGCTCATAAGCTTTGCAGTGTAACTGGAAGTAGAATGAGTCAATTATAGAAAAGAGTAAGGAATTTGGTGGCCAAGAAGCCGGATACATTATTTTTTTAATTGGGGAGAGAAGAAAAATAGCCAATTATCATTAAGATATATATAAAAAAAATCCTGGAAGTTGAATTTAAAGGAGAAAGCCATCTTAGTTATAAAATTAAAACCAGGAAATTTCATTAAATGCCAAATGGGTTTCTTCACATAGAACAATTGTGAACATTAAAGTAAGATAAAATAAAAAAGCAGAGGTAAGAAAACAGAAGAACTTCTTAATATCTTTCTAATGTTTTACATCATGCTTGGTTATTGTTCTAAATGTGGCAGAAAAGTTGTGTTAATAGTGTCTAATAAGCATCACTTTGAAACAAATCATAATGAGGAAATTTGCTGCTGAAGGTCTGTCTTCCAGAATTTTGCTAGAAAAATATCAAGGCAGTTTGCTGTAAGAGAACTGAGCCAGTGAATGGCTACTTCTGGAGTGGTATGCAGACAGGAGGCCTGGATGAGGAGAATGTTCTAGCTTCTGCTTCATATTCACTGTTTGCATCAGAGGCCTCAGATAGCTAAAGTCAGGTACACATGGAAAAAGCAGCTCATTCAAACAAGGCAAACGAAGGAATGAGTCTGTTGTAGTCCTAGTGTTCTTAAATCTCTCTTTACCTACAAGTGCTTCATAGATCTATCCCTACCACATTCTACTGCCCAGAAATCTCACTAGTGAATATCTGAAGTTGACTATTAGCATTCAAGCAGGCGATGTTGCTAGGAATCTCTTCTGGGCCTGTTGATGGCTTCCATCAGTGTCCGTTGAAATATCACTGAACTGTGAGTCATTTAGTGCTTGTGTGAGTGTCACATTGCTTTCAAGGGACATAATTTACTGTTAATTAATGGTCACTTAAATCCTTAATCTCTCTCCTATAATTGATCTCTCTCCTTAGGCCAATTTGTATTCACAGTAGAAATGCAATTTATTATTTCTTTCCATCTTAATCAAAGAACCATCTTTCCCCTTTTGGTTTATGTAAGAATACTTAGTTGTGTATTCATTTTCTTTTTTCATAGCTCATTTCTCTTTGCTCCCTAGTTCAGCTTCTAGAACTTTCTGGTTTCCCCCCCCCCCACCAGAAAACATGTGTTTATCCATAGGCGACTGTTTTCACGAAAAGATTGAAGAAGGAAATTTGAGTCCTTTTAACACAGGGGGTAGGGGACATGTATGCATAACTCAGAATTATGTATCCTCTGTCTCAGGTAGTCTCCTGTACTGCAACACATACTTTTCGGCTTCTCCCTGGCTGAGCCTTGCACTGGGGGCTTCCGAGCAAAGTGAACTCCCCAAAGCGCAAGGTTTGCTTTGTGCTGCCAGCCTCCCTCTCCTTGGGGTGTGCCAGTAAGAGATGGTCTCAGGTAGAGAGATTCAGAGCATACTTTTTGACTATAATTCTTCACAAGAAAAAAAAAAACAACAACAACTAAAAAATGGTACCCAGTGCAAGCCACCCATCCACCCATCTTAGCACCACACATTTGAATAGCGGATGCTGCTTTAGGCATCTCCTCGGGTGGCTAGGGAGCTAACATGCTCCTAAGGCACCCAGTTCTGTTGGTAACAAAAGTGCGTATTCCACCGCTGACAGTGAGTCTGGAATTGCACGTCCGGCCTCACTGTTAGCATTTTGGTCACACTGACATTGATAAATCATAGAAACTGCTGCCTGTGGCAGCAAATGACACGACATCATTCATAAAGAAATGGGTATAAACAGGATTGTCACGCAGGGAGAGGCGATCTCATTTACAGTTTCCTGCTGGATCTCTCACACTTTCAGCAGCTCATCAAAAAACCCATCAACATCTCGGAGAGCCCAGACGATTTCACACGCAGGACACTGCAGATACATTTCGCTCATGCACCGTGTCACGAGGTGTGGAATTTGCTTCAGTCCAATGGCTTGGAGAGGTTTTAAATCCCCTCAGGGGTGGCGAGGCTGGTGAGCAAAATAACTTTTTGCAATTCAGAGCAAGCCCTCACAAATTTGTCACTTCCAATTGTGGGTGCTCATTTCTCATGCGTCCTTTCCCCTGGTCTCCCCTCCCTCAACACCAATCACTGTTTCGCCGCAAATCAAGATTCCTGGGCCGGAGGAAATGGTTGTTCCTTAGAACCAGAGAGATTGGCCTAAAACCAAGATCTCATTTTCTGACAAGTGCCTTTTATTTAAAAGAAAGGAGTGAAAAGGAGATTTTTTTTTTTAAAGAGAGAAGTAAGCAGGAATTAGAATCTCATTAGTCCCATTATCTAGGATTCCTTACGATTCTTGGGGTTCACAGGCTTGTGGTTTTGCTTGGGTTGTCTATGTAGTTGTTGAATTACAAAGGGAAAATCAGAAGCAAATAACTAAGGCTAAGTGTAACCTTTTGGCTAAGTGTGTAGATGAGTTTCTTCTCTATGCCAGGAGTGGGTGATGCTGGAATAAAGAAAGGGCTTTGCCTCTAAGCTGCAAGGTGGCTGTCCAGCGGAAATGTAGGTACTGTTTGTGTTCTTGGTGATGGGCCTGATCTACTTAACTTTACAATTAGATTCCTTTATTGGGTGCTTAGGTCAACAGCTTCTTTTTTCTTCATTAAGACTTACTTATTTTTATTGTAAAGTCAGATTTACAGAGAGAAAGCTCTTCATCCACTGGTGGCTACATCCCCAAGTGGCTACAATAGCCAGAGCTGAACTGATCCGAAGCCAGGAGCCTGAAGCTTCTACCGAGTTTCCCACACAAGTGCAGGGTCCCAAGCCTTTTGGCCATCCTTCACTGCTTTCCCAGGCCACAAGCAGGGAGCTGAATGGGAAGTGGAGCAGCCGGGACACAAACTGATGTCCATTTGGGATCCCAGTGCATGCATGGTGAGGGCCACTAGGCTAATGTGCCGGTCCAGCTCAACAGTTTGCTTTAAGGATCTGGCAGGGATAGGTGCTATAACACACTGGGTTGGGCTGCCACCCGGGTTGCCCACATCCAACATCAGCATATTGGTTCGTATCCCACATACCCCTAGCTTCCAGTCCAGCTGCCTGTGAAAGACAGCATCTGATGGATGCAAGACCCTGGGTTCCTGCTGCCTCTGTGGGAGATGCAGAGGATTACCAGGCTCCTGTCTTTGGCCTGGTCCAATCACAGCCATTGTGGGCATTTGGACAGTAAACCAGTATATGGAAGAATCTTGCTCTCCTTTTCCCTCTGCCTCTCCTGCTTATTCTGTCACTCTACCTTTTAAATAGAAAAATACTGTGGCAAACAGAGATCTGTACTCTACTTAAGAGTCACCAAGCGTAGCCTGGTGGCTAAAGTCCTCGTCCTACACACCCAGGATCCTATACTGGCGCCGGTTCATGTCCCAGCAGCTCTGCTTCCCTTCCAGCTCCCTGCTTGTGGCCTGGGAACAGCAGTCGAGGACAGCTTTGGGACCATGTACCCATGTGGGAGACCCAAAAGAAGCTCCTGGCTCCTGGGTTCGTATCGGCTCAGTACCAACTGTTGCAGCCACTTGGGGAGTGAACCAGCAGATGTATTTCTCTCTCTCTCCTTTACTCTGTAAATCTGACTTTCCAATAAAAATAAGTAAATCTTACAAAAAGAAATGAGTCACCAAGCACTGAATGTTCTCAAACTCCCTAAAATGTGCTCAGTTCCTCTTACTTTTGCCTTCCTGGTGATCCTTTTCCTTTACAGGAATTCTTGCTACGGATACTTCTCATGCCAGGAATTCTGCTCTGTATCATCTCACCAAGCAGCTCTTACAGAAATACCAAAAGGAAGTGAGGCCTGTTCATGACTGGACCGAGGCCACCACCATCTATCTGGACCTGTCCGTTCATGCCATTTTGGATGTGGTAAGGACTATCCTGCCCTTTCTTACTCTTGGCAGTCTCCTTTAAAATGGCCTGCAGCTTCTGAAGAAGTCTGAGAAGGTTACATGTTGTTGAGACTTTAGTGGAATTGTTAGGAGGGTTGTACTCTATTCAATTTTAGCTGTTAGTACTTAATAGGCAAATCATGCTTTATAGTCTCTCAGTTTATGTTATAAAGAGCAAACAGTCACGAAATCAGTTTGTGGAGCCTGGTGTGGTAGCCTAATGGTGAAATCCTTGCCTTGCAAGTGCCAGGAGTCAATATGGGTGCCAGTTCATATCCCGGCTGCTTCACTTCCCTTCCAGCTCCCTGCCTGTGGCCTGGGAAAGCAGTGGAGGACGCCCCAAAGCCTTGGGACCCTGCACCCGCATGGGAAATCTGGAGGAAGCTCCTGGCTCCTGGCTTCAAATCAGCTCAGTTGCAGCTGTTGCGACCAGTTGGGGAATGAGCCAGTAGATGAGAGATCTTTCTCTCTGTATGTCCTTCTCTCTGTAAAACTACCTTTGCAATAAAATCAATAAATCTTAAGAAAGAAGGAAAGAAGGAAGGAAGGAAGAAAAGAGAAAGAAGGAAGGAAAGAAAGTTAGTTAGTTTATGAAATTAAGATGTTTTAAGAATTGTGGTCATACATCAATATCTGGGTGATTGGAGACATGAGTTTGACTACGTCAGCCAATGGATATTGGGAAGGTTGCCTTAACCTTGGATTGGCAAAATCAATAGCATTTCAGAGCTATCCAAACCACTTGGGCAGAACCCTCAGAACATGCGCACATAGGGACCTTGGGTTGATACTGAGTGGTGGTTCCCCATCCCTGGGTACTGGGACATTTTGAAGGCTGGGTGTGGCTTCTCTCCTTCTCTCTCCTCTTCCCCCCAGAGACAAGAAGAAATAGGGAACTTGGAAACAATGATTTCACCCACTTCTCCCTTACCCTGAATCCTTCTCACCTTGGTCAACCATGTAATGATCATCAAAAATAAAAAAATAAAAAACAACTTGTATTCTGATTTATGTGGTCATACATTTTATACACTTACCATTATGTTATGAGAGCATGTTTCACATACTCTTCAATATTTGATGTTATCAGTATTATTTTTAACATTGAGTTATGTTACTTGGAAGGTCAGAATTATAGAGAAAAAGAGGCAGAGACAGAAAGATCTCCTTTCTGCTAGATCACTCCCCAAATGGCTGCAACAGCCAGAGCTGAGCCAACCCGAAGCCAGGAGCCAGGAGCTTCTTCTGAGTCTCCCACATGGGTTACAGGATCCCAAAATTCTGGTCCATGCTCTCCTGATTCCCCAGGGAGCAGGCAGGATAGCAACCTGTGCCTGTATGGGATGCCAGACCACAGAAGGATTGATCTGCAATGCCACTGGGCCAGCCCCTGTAATTGGTATTTTTAACTTCAATGCTTCAAGTAAGGGTAGAGAAATATTTTAGCTTTACTTCACATTTCCCTGATAGCTAATGTTTTTGAGTTCTTTCTCATATTCTTATTGGTTCTTTATAGCTGTTTTCTTGGGAGGTGGCCATTTAAGCCTTTTTGCCTTTTTAAAAATTGAACCATTGATCTTTTTACTGAATATTCATAGGAGCTGATTTTATATATACACATACATATTGTGTGTGCATATCTTTTTATGTATAACTTTTTAAAAAAGATTTATTTTATTTTTATTAGAAAGTTAGATATACAGAGAAAAGGAGAGACAGAGAGGAAGATCTTTTGTCTGATGATTTACTCCCCAAGTGGCCACAATGGCCGGTGCTGTGCCGATCCGAAGCCAGGAGCCAGGAACTTCTTCCAGGTCTCCCACACGGGTGCAGGATCCCAAAGCTTTGGGCTGTCCTCGACTGCTTTCCCAGGCCACAAGCAGGGAGCTAGATGAGAAGCAGAGCTGCCGGGATTAGAACTGGCATCTCTATGGGATCCTGGCGTGTGCAGGACTTTAGTTGCTAGGCTACCATACCAGACCCTTAAATCTATTATAAATGTTTTTTCCTAGTTTGAATTGCACCTATACATTTTTGTAGTGGGTTTTATGATTAACAGAATGTTGAAGTTTGGGGAAGTCTATTTTTATATAGTTCTTATTTATGGTTAATGCTTTCTGTGTCCCATGTAAGGACGTGCTACTCAAGGCCACAAAGATATTCTTCTGTATCTTCTGCTAGAATCTTTATCACTTTCCACTCTAGGGTTTTGGTCTATACTCTGCTGAGAACTGGATATTGGTGTGTATGAAGTGTGAGGGGTAAAGGCATTTTTTGTTTGTGCATTTGTATTGTATTGATATAATAATCATTTGTATTAAGATAGTTATTCCAGCATAATTTTTTCAAAAAGGTTCTCCTTTTTCTCTTGGTAAAAATGTAAACCAATTCTCTAAGTGTTAATCTATTTCTCAGAAAACTAGGTAGTGTGAGTCTTCCAATCTTGTTCTTATTTTTTTAACATTTATTCATTTTTATTATAAAGTCAGATTTACAGAGCGAAGGAGAGACAGAGAAGGATCTTCCATCTGATGGTTCACTCCCTAAGTGGTTGCCATGGCAAGTGCTGATCCGATCCAAAGCCAGGAGCCAGGAGCTTCCTTCAGGTCTCCCGTGAGGGTGCAGGGTCTCCAGGCTTTGGGCCGTCCTCTATTGTTTTACGAGGCCACAAACAAGGAGCTGGAAGGGAAGTGGAGCAGCTGGGATATCAACCAGCACTCATATGGGATCCTGGGCATGCAAGGTGAGAATCTAGCCACTAGGCTACCATGCTGAGCCCCTCTTTTGCCTTCCTATATACAATATGGAATCAGCTTGTGAACTTCATATCTTTTTTTTTTTTTTTTTAAATCTTGCTGGTAATTTGGAATGCTGTGGAATCTACAGATCAACTTGAGAGAATTGTCAACAGTATTGTTTTCCAACTCTTTAATGTGGCATATCTCTCAACATTATTCTAGACTAAAATTGTGTTTTCTAAGTTGCTGGGTAGAAGTTTTACATATAGAATTGTCTGTTTGAATGACTAGATGATGTGCCTCTTTTATTCAGTGAATGTGGTACAGTATTTTGATCCATTTTCAAATGTTAAATTAACTCTGCATGGTTGAAACCAATCAGATTTGATTTTTTAAAAAAATATTTCACTGGGCCTGGAGCAGTAGGCTTGTGGCTTAAGTTCCTGCCTTGCATGCACCAGGATTCCATATATGGGCACCAGTTCTAATCCTGACAGCTCCACTTTCCATCCAGCTCCCTGCTTGTGGCCTGGGAAAGCAGTCGAGGACGGCCCAAAGCCTTGGGACCCATCCACGTGGGAGACCTGAAGAGGCTCCTGCTTCCTGGTTTCAGATCAGTTCAGCTCTGGCCATTGTGGCCTCTTGCGCATTGAACCATCAGACAGAAGATCTTTCTGACTCATCTTCTCTCTGTAAATCTGTCTTTCCAATAAATAAAACTTAAAAAAAACCCCAACTAGTTGAGAGGTGTTTCCTCCTCAATTTTCTAAAGGATATTTTTCCTTTCTTATTATCCGATAGAATTTACCAGAACAAACATAAAGACATACAGTTTTTTCAAAAATGAAATCAGGTTTTTTTTTTTTTAACACTTAGAGATGTTCATGGTTTTGATTCCTTCATGTGTCAGTTTTGTTAATTTTTTATTTTTCACGGAATTTACTTCATTCAATTTTTCAAATTTCTTGGTTTAAGGTTTTCACTTTTCTTTCCATTGTTTTAATGTCCTTGGGTTCCCTGGTGACATAGCCTTCATGCCTCCAATTGGTAATATGCAAGATTTTTTTCTTGCTTTCTCTGAGCTTAACATTGCCAAAATTTACAATTTTTATTTCAAAGATGAAAATTTGGACTTACAAATTTTGTTTCACTGTTATCTGCTCTTATCTTTATTAATTTTATTTTCCTATTTTTACTTGGGATTCGGTGTGTCCTTTATCTGGTTATTAAAGTAAAAACTTAGGTAATGGATATTGAACCTCTTTTCTTTTTAAAAAATATTTGTTTATCTGAAAGTTAGAGTTACGGGAGAGGGGAGACTCACAGAGATCTTTTTTAAATTTATTTTTATTTTTGATGATTTTCACATATTTGATTAGGCGATAAGGCTCAATGGCTACAGGAAAGTGGATGATAGCACCATTTCCACATTCCCTTTTCTCCCTAACTATCTGGGGAAAAGTAAGAAGACAAGGGGAGACGCCATATCCAGCCTCCCAACCATCCCAGGGTCCCCAGTGAAGGGCATGCTCTGAGGGTCTTGCTCAAGAGTTTTCAATACTTCAACAGTTCCAAATTACTGCTGATCTCACCACTCCAGCATGATGAAATCTTTCCAGAGTCTACTGGTTGATATAGTCCACCTTAAAGTCTCCGTTTGCCCAGATAGTCACTGCTATCACTTGGCTGGGAGAGTTGATCAATTTTCCTGTCCTCCGCCCTCTGTTGTGGTACCAGGTGTCCTCTATAGGCATATCCTCTAGGTGTGCCCGGACATGCCGTCCACTGCTCTGTCTAAGACACTGAGGCCCATCTGTGATGCATGCACTCTACAGTCAGACCATGGAACCTGCAATTCTCTCCATGGTTGGGGTTCGGAGTCCAGCAATTCAGTTGGAGGGATGTCCATAGAAACTTCATCTGAGGTGATCTCAGACCTGATTCTTGGGTGTGCTTGCCAATACAGGGTCTGGCACAGTCCGTTGCCCCAATCAGCTTTTGCATACGGTGGTGGTTGCAATTGTTGGGTCAGTTCTGCCTCCAACCCTGTCTTCTACACAAACCAATGGGTTCTTACTCCAGGATGATTCTGCCCACCACACACTTGGCCTTCACGCAAACCAGTGGGAGCTGCAGCCTAGTTAGAGCGACCCTCAATAACCTCCACTAGGCCCACCCTCTGCCCTTGTTCCCGTGTTTGCCAGTATGTACAGCAGACTGGTCCAATTTATCTCATAGA